CTGTAGTGGAGAAAGCACACTTTTCTTGGCGTTTAGTCTTAACCCCAACTCTTTCATGTGAGCGAGAACGACATCTCGATGCCGAACCGCCATCTGCTCTGATTGAGCTAGTATCAACCAATTGTTGATGTAATTCAGTAAGTGGATGCCCTGGAGTTGCAGGGGAGCCAGAGCACCATCCACGCACTTGGTGAAAGTGCAGGGTGAGAGTGCCAGACCGAACGGAAGAACCCGATATTGGGATGCTTTGCCCCCGAAAGCAAACCTCAGGAAATTCCTGTGTTGAGAAAGGATGGGTATGTGGAAGTATGCGTCTTTCCAATCTATCATCACAAACCAGCCCTTGGACCTGATTTGAGACACGACCTGTTTGATCGTGAGCATTTAGAACTTGATTCGCATGACTGAGCGGTTCAACAAATGCAGATCTGGAATCGGACGTCACCCCCAATTCTTCTTCGGAACGATGAAGTACCGGCTGTAGAACCCGGACTCTCTGTCAAGAGGAGGAACCACCTCAACGGCCTCCTTTCTCAAGAAAGTGTCTACTTCTTGTTCCATGACCAGAGCCTGCTCAGGCCCAGCAGAGTGGGAAATAACCTCCCGTTGAATAGAGGCGGACGAGAGCCGAACTGAATCTTGCAGCCTCTTTCTACAGTGTGCAGGACCCAATGAGACACATTTGGCAGAAGCTTCCACACTGCCAGATGATCTACTAAGGGAACCAGTCTCTCAAGACTGGCCTCTGGTGTATTTAGAGCGGCTAGCTCGGTGCCCTGAAGTGGAAGACCGGCAGGAGACGGCCAATCTAGTTGCTCTAAAGGCCTCCTTGGAGGTAGCGAGCCTCTCAAGACCGCTTTCGAAGACTTTCTAGTGAGAATGATGGTCCACAGATCTGCCTTCTGCTTAGAAGCCTTCGGCCGGGAGCGCTGCTCTGACTCCAGATATTTTCTGGGGAAGTACGAGAAGCGACGCTCCCCGAATGAGGAGCTGGAACACGGCTGGGGCAGCCCCTGAGATCTGTGTCCACCACTGGAGAATGTCAGGGCCTTAAGGGTGATGCTGCAATGGGGACAGATAGCTTGCAATCATCTGTCCCACCTAGACATCGCCCTATAGACCTACTCATTCAGCCCCCCAAATAGAAGAAATTCGCAAAAGAAGAGCTGAAGAGCTGGACTGAAATATGGTTAAACCCATGCTCTTAACACCTCGGTGTGGAGACAGGGAAAACCGGTAGGTACCGACACGGAGGATGTGATTAGAAAACTATGGCACGGTTTTAGTTACGATCTCCACCAACTCCTCAAAGTCTAGTAATGACGTGTTTACCACATCAACCTCCTCAGAGGAAGAGAGGTAAACACCGTGCTCTCACTCGAGAATTTTATATCCCAAGAGAGCGCTGTATTAGAGAGTGAGGGAGGAGAAAGGGGAGCCCGTCTCCGATCCCTGTGCTGAATATTATATATATGAATATATCCATAATTTATATCTTAACTTCTCAAAGCCAGAAGAATATACACAGAGGCGGACAGTAACTAAGTACATTTACTTGAGTTATATATTAGACACAATATTGTCTGATTTTGCTCAATTGTGTATGTGAAAATATTACCTATAAAGCCACAGAAGAACTGTTGTGGATCTCCTAATAAAACACAATAGGTGTTGGACTTGAAGCAGCACTGCACAGATAATTCTGTGTATGACATCAAAGTACCGCGAGAGTGATTAGACAGCATTTCAAATGTTTGTTTTGAAACAGTGTTGCTGTTGTAAAGTTATACATCTACAGTTGTGTTGCTGGGTTTTAAAGCAGGTTTGATTTTAGTTTTCTTCCTTATCACTCTGTATTTACAGGATTTCACTGTCCACTCTGTTCAAATGTGGATGAATGGCTACACATAGATGTGTGCACACACTGTCAGAGCTGTGTGAGATCACTACCATCCTGCTTTTGTGGGGGTGGGTATAGGGTGTTAAATTTGTTTTGTTTAGTTTTTTTTCCCCATAGGTTTTTAACATTCTAAAAGCTCTTTATTCCAAATATACTACAAGCTAGTCAGTGTATTCAGCAGGTGTAATGTATTCTAAGTTGCTTCAGAAGTATTGCAAGTACTAGTACGTACAACAATAAAACAGTGCATTGACATAAAAAAGGAAATTTACTTTTGGTATTTAAGTACTTTTAAAAGCAAGTACTTCTGTACTTTTACTTAAGTAAAAATCTGTCTTTACAACTTTCACTTGTAATAGAGTAATATTTGACCAGCAGTATCTGTACTTTCACTCAAGTAATGGAGTTGAGTACTTTGTCCGCCTCTGAATATACATAATTTAATTCCTCAGAATTAAATGCAGCCATACAAACCAGACAAGTCAACACGGTCTGATTATAATATAAAATGCAATATAAAAGAATCGTGAATAACAATAATCATTTGGGGGAAAGAGTGAGAAAAAGGCCACGCGGGAGCACTCGATTCTACATTGCATAAACCTTTCTTCCCTCGAGAAGAAACGCCAGCGGGAGCAGAGCTAAACTTTTAAGGTAATGCATTTTCACTTGTACACTTGTTAATTTATGAATAAACACAGCTAGAGCTGACTGTGCGTGCTCTGCTCCAAAACAAACCACACATAAATCACGTGGATCCCCACCCCTTATTTTTGCGAGGGCAGGGAGAAACGAGTGATTAAAAATGCAGTATGTATTTTTTTTTTATCATATGCAAAAGATTGAGATTGGCGAGTCCTCAGACTCATATACTGTACATCATTGCTAACAACATCAACCTCCTCGGAGGAAGATAGCTGCAGCATAGAGCTCTCACTCAAAGGGGTAAGAGACCGCAGCGAGGGCTTCCGAAACTCCATAAGAGAGCGCTAGATTCATATGCGATCCCAATCGCCGCCATGCCTCACCAACAGCGGGACAGTAACTGCAAAGACAGCAAACACGGACACACTCCTCAGAGTGTGCCCGGCGGGAGCGGAGCGTTCGCGGCGGAAGCACGATGCACAATCAGCCCCCTCGTGAGCTGACTGTGCGTGCTCCGCTCCCAAACAAACAACACAACTAAAGTGCTAAAGTGCTGTCTGTTTAGCTCGCCATATAGAGGTGATTGTGCACTGTTTGATAAACAACAGAAAATAAGACCTACAAGTTTCACACAGAGCGCTTGCTGAAAACACAGAAGCTAACATTGCTTTTAAGCTTTCTGGTCTCTACGTCAGCCCGCCCATGACGTTTCGCCATTCCGTTGGACTGATTTTACATTTGATTCAGAGCGTGGGCACACAGTGGCATTCCCAAAGCATTTTCCGACGCAGCGTGAGTTCCCAAAGGAGAACTGATGTATTCACCTTGGCTGCATTTATCTATTGTGTAGTCATGCATAGCTATGGTATATGACTAAACAGATTACATTCTGCTTGTTAATGATCACCAAACAATTTTGGGTGCAATGCGCAGTTTGTCCTGTAAACTATAAAAAAGGAAAACATCCAAATCTGCGTTCACATCAAAAACATCAAATCTGCGTTCGCTGGCTGGCGCAGAGCCAGAGACATACATGTTTTTACAGAGCTGCCCATTATAACCAATCACTGAGGATTCTGTTGAATTTATGAATGACAAATCAGAGGCATTCAGATGAGTCATCACTGAAACGCCACTGTTTCGTCACCGCGTGCGCTCGCTGATTGAATTCTCTGGCGAATTCTCTCATTAGAAACAACAAAGTGCAGATTTACAAATGTAAGTAAGAGATTCATTCACAGTTTAAACAGCTTTAGTGATTATAATGGGAGTTTTTGAGAGTGCTTGAACTCGCTAGACTGAAGTGAAAATGTTATTTGATAATGTAAATGTTCTTTGCTCTCTTTCTGTACAATGAAAGTGTTATAGGCTAATTAGTAACTTGCAATGTTTTTTATTAAATTCACATTAAATAGCTGTAGGATCTCTGTCTTCGAATGGACCCACTTACACTATTGACTTGCTCAGGTAATCAGAATATCCTGCTGTTACTACCAATTATGACTGATGAAGGAACTGAAAAGCTTTAAAATGGTTTAGAATAAAGCAAACAAAATTAAGACATCATACCAACGACAAACAGAAGTGCACAGACTACTCACAGTTAACATGTTTAAGTATACCTGAATCATTTACAGTTTTGAGGTGATGACATTAAATGTTATCCAAAGAAAAATAAATCAGTTAAGGTGGGAGGTTGCTGGCACAGGTAACGGACAGAGAAAACGTGTGACAGAAGCTCTGTGAGAATGAGCCATGCTTACCTTTTGCCTCGGAGCTGCCTTAAATGATGAAACACATTGATGACATCCCTTATTCGTCGAGGGGCTTCTTCGATCTTTGAAGCCAAGTTAATACAGGCCATGGCAACAATCTACAGAGAGAACAGACACAGAAAGAGCTGTCAAAACACTATTACACAAGAATGCACGCAGCATACATTAGTTGATAGACTGATAAAAATATAAACTTGTTAGAGGATATTACCATTTTGTGCTTTTAAATTGTGAATTTGAGCAAATGTTTGTGAAACATGCATTTAATTTGTATCAGCCAATGGAAAAAAAAATAAATAAATAACAAAACAAAGATCTACAACTATACACATTCTCAATAGGACAATTATAACGAGAGCTGTGTGTATATAACACCAACGTAGTGAGCTGTCTAACTAGACAGTAATCCTTTCTAACACGCCTATGATGCCCAATAATGTCGCCTAGTTAGGCAGTTCGCTGGTATTTGAAACCACGCCCGTTATAACTATCCTATTATGACGACAACGTTTAAAATAATATACACCATTGAGCGATAGTTTTGGTTATAATCTGGTTGAATGTCATTACAGTACAGTACAGTAACGTTAGCTCAAACAACATGGCTGCCATCCGCATTGCTTGTAAATACGCTTTATTCTCTTACCTCAAAACTGTGTTTCACGAAAGACTTCGAGTAGAAGAATCGATGAAAAAGCACTTGTCCGGTCGCCATGGCCACCTGAAACATAATTACGATTAAAGAAAATTTAATATAACGTAAAACGGCCGTTTCGTTTCAAAAGCAACGTCCGCCATTTTGTTTTTGTCTAGCCGATGGACACCGCTCGCGAAAGACGTTCAAAACCACTGACATTTATCTCTAGATTACACACATTGTATAAACAAATTTTATATCTAATTTATTTGGGGGCGGGTGTGTTTAACTGTTAGTCCTTTGAAAAGTCTGGTGTGTTTTGTTGGGTTATGGATTCTTGTTTGATAATGTCACATCAAAATTGCTTCACATCGATTGTTTATTTCAAGCTAGCATAATTTCACAGCTTCACTTCATTAATCGTTTAAGTAGTTAGACCAACCGAATATTTACCTGCGGCAGTCGCAGCAGGATTCCGGCGGACTGGATGAGCTCGCAGCCCAGGATCCGCAGGTCTGTCTCGGTGTACAGGTCGAGGCCATCCTGCATAGACGGGGTCGAGGAGAGATTTTCCTCCGGAATCAAAGAATTATCGATGGTGAGGAAGACTTCGGAATACACTTTATCCCCTATTAATATGCCCTCGCTATTAGCAGGCGCGTTTGCGGCGGGACCGGTGGCCATCGACGCCTCCATGATCGCTGTCGTCGGTACCTGCCGAGGACGCTACAATCTAGAAATAGATTCGTAACCCAGAGCGGAAAACAGCACTGCACATCGCTGCTCATGGGACAGCTCGCTGATTGGTGCAGAGATGTGTCATGTGACCTCAACAAACCAATCGCTGTCAGATAACTGTTACTTTATTCAACGCTGTAACCCACCATATTACTTTAAAGTACGTTTTTGTGCCCATAAATAATTAAACGTTTTAAATATATTCCTGGTATGCCGGGGTTGCAAGCGCTCTCAAACAGGTAGAAATTATTACACGAATTTATTTTTCACAGCGCCTCCTGCAGATGGAACTTAATGCAGTCCGTTATTGTAAATGAAGCTTGTACTTCCAGGTGTTTTTTTTTCTGTCAGGATTGAACGTTGCTCTAACGTAAACCTCACAAACAGATTTGTACACTTCCGCGGCCTATTGTAGAGCCGAATAAAATGTATTATATTCACGTATAACATAAATGAATACATAAAGCACTCCACGTAATTACGCAGGAGCAAGCGTAGCAATTTATCAGTATACTTCTGTTTCCAAGTTATGAGTATTCTGACAAATTTTGATAGAAATTTTTCTCAGGCATTAAATTTAACTTATTGTTTTTCTGTTTTGTTTGTGTGTGTGTGTGTGTGTGTGTGTGTGTGTGTGTTTTATTTACAACACCAAATTCCTAAGACTTTGCCTAGATTTGCAGTCTTCCTTGCTGAGATTTACCATACTCTAAAAAATCTCCCAAACTCATAACAAATTCCCTTAATCTACTGTTTACTTTTTTCATTTTTCCTTAATTTTTCATGTTACATAACTGTAATTCAATGCTGTGCTGTTTCTTTAAAAATAATAATAAAATAAAATAAATATATATGCATTATTGGTTTTATAATGCTGAAAGTCTATTCAACATCAACGCATTATGAAAAATAAATAGTACACTTAGTGGGCTCATACGTTGTCTCCTTAGAGAAAGTACGTTATAGGCGTAGCCTGTTATCTAATATGTGTATTTTAGATCACATTCGTTTTAATCCAGTGACTGGATACTGACGGGAAGTTCCAGTGACGCTGATGACAGGAACTGAAATGAAAGCCGGGTGCAGTACATATCAATCCGCTGGTGCGTTCCACAGTTGTGTACCTGAAACTCAATTAACTGACTGAACTGATATGAACGATCCCCTAGATATAAATTTGACTGGAACAATTTTTGACAGTATTTACTAGAAAAAAGCATGGTTACTCCCCGGAAATATATACTGCATTTCTAACTAAATTAAATAAGTAAGATAGCCAACATAATATCTACCCAACTACCCAAAAGCCAAAGTTTCCAATTTTGTATTCCATAAAACTGCACTCTAAAAAATGCTGGGTTAAATACAACCCAGCAATTGGGTTGTTTTGATCCAGCGATTGGGTTACCACCCAGAAGGTTGGGTTAAACATTTAACCCAACCGCTGGGTCAAAACAACCCAATTGCTGGGTTTGTCCCTATTTTACCCAGCACTGGGTTATATTTAACCCAGCATTTTTTAGAGTGTGAGGAAGTAACTTTGCTAATATAGTTTTCATCAGTGCAATCAGATTTTCTTTGGGAGAATATGAGTGGTTCAGTGATGGGGAGTAACTAGTTACATGTAACGGAATTACATGATTTAATTACAAAATAAATGTAACTGTAATCTGTTACTGAGAAAAAAAGTATAATTAAATTACACTTACTTATGAAAATGTTAACGACTGCAAAGGGGTTTACACCTGAATATTTCCACACACATACAGATTTGATTGATTTCTTCCTAGATTGCATTGACTGCTCTAAAATATATTTCAGGAGTTTAGGATACAGAATAGGACACATTTGTGTGTTACCTGTTGTATTTCCAATCTGGATTTATGTATATTCTTTATTTTTTAAGATTAACTGTTTTTTCCAAAGCATTGTTAGATGACAGTGTTTTCGGTCATAGCTGTGCAAAGATTTGATTTTTAAAATATCATAGCTATTAAACTATATCTTCATATGACTGTAAATCTGTAACTCTGAATGATCTCAAAGTAAAAAGAGGTGTTAATGTCTGATTTTGTGGTGGATGTGCTTTAAAATGACATTTTTATCATCTTAATTCAAGTGATGAAGGATTTTGAGAAGAAATCACACTCTAAAAATGCTGGGTTAAAAACAACCCAGCGCTGGGTGAAATATGGACAAACAGTGATTAGGTTGTTTTGACCCAGCGGTTGGGTTAAATGTTTAACCCAACCTTCTGAGTAGTTTACTGTTGCTTAAATAATACTGTTTCTTGCGTAAAATGCACCCAAAATAGGTTGGAAAGTCAATAAATATGTTAAATTCAATAAATGAACATTTAACCCAGAGTGCAGTGTTGAGTGTGTAGGATCTCTGTCTTCGAACGGACCCACTTACACTATTGAGTCACACATGAAACAATCACATTCCATTGAGACAAACTGAGGAGCACCCTATGCAGCCATCTGCGGTCGTAAAACTCATGCAGGGTCAGTGAAGTGTCTCAGCAGTTCCTGTCCCATCTAGCTTATAGTCTCAAGAGACTCAAATAAAAGCAGTGCTTAAACCCTAACTCACCAGGGGAGGAGAAACTCCCCCTGTCTGAAAACCCCTCGAGGATCAGAGGTGCAGTGTAACGTGACTGGCTTCAGCATAAATAACTATCTAAGAGACAACAGAACAAAGAACCTGGTATCTGGAAAAGTTCCAGCACAAGACACTCCTGGACCCCATGACCGTTTGACACGTAAATTGCTAAATCCGATAAACAGAAAGCGACAGATTAAGAGCTCCATGTCCAGCGAGAAGGATGGCAGATCTACACTCGTGACATGGGCATGACCTCAGGACACCTCCCCTTTCCCCCCTGCATTCTAAAAGGGAGTAATTCCCTCCTTCAAGGGACGTAGGGGACGTAGAACTTACACAGACAATTCAAAAGACAATCATTTAAAAGGAAAAAAGGGCACAAAATCATATAAATCATGTTTTATGTCTTATATATGCTCGACGTGTTTCATGTAATCGGTGCAACTTTAATCAGTGTTTTATTACCCTTTTTAGGAAATAAGGTTATTAAAATGTGTGTAATATGTGAAGTTTAATCTTGAACGAATGGGCACGACAAATGCAGAATGTTGAAATGAAGTAAACTTTAATAGTATGTACAATACTTGCATTTAAGAAGCTTTATAGAAGTATTAACACAACTTTTATAGATGGTGTCCTCATGTGATCGGACTTGTGCAGCAGGTCAAAACCCCACTGCAACACAGATTCAAGTGCTTCTCGCTGCTTACTCTCTAGACCTTTGGCTTTTCGCCTTGGTGACCGCGCTACAAAGCGCTCCCACGCCGTAACATCGCACAAGCGAGACTCCAGAACTCAAACACTTTAGCTGAAACTTCGTGACTGCCAGAGATCTTCAAAAGCCTCAAGTCTTGCAAACTTAAACTCTCTCAGAAGACCTGCCGAAGCCTCTGCGTCACCAGGCAACCAACCAATCACCACGGAGGGCTCTCCCCAAAGGACGCCGTACTGACGTCATCTCAGCAACCAATCAAAAGCCGGGACTCCCTTGGGCAACAAGAAAACCCCGTTGCAGCTGACTTAAAAATTAATGACACCAAGATATTATTGTGAATCTTGTCTATTTTTATCCTGAAGAATAGATTGGACAGAGAGAAACAGAGTTTTGTGAGTTATTGTAACTGTTATTATAGCATGGCAGAGCGTGTTGAATGAATGAAGTGAAACTCGAGTTGTTGTTAAAGTTGAACTGCAGTAAAACATTTACATTTTGTCCACCGAGACAAAATAAGTCGCTCTAGAGCACACAAGAAAGAAACGAGCGTGTCCCTCGTTTACTTTCTTTGAAAGGGCCTTCAGAGCTTGATTTGTATAAGTGCGTGTTCCACTTCCAAATTCAACTCTGCTATTCATCTCCCCGGTTTGAGAATATCAGATTAGCTAACTGATAGTCCTTTGCCATTTATTCACTAAAACTAGTGAACTTGAAAACGCAGTGCTCAGAGAGTGTCCGAATGTTGTTTTTTTTTAATGGGAGAATTGTGAAATCTTGATCAAGTGAAATTGTAGTTAAATCCACGTGTGTTTTGTCTGTATAAATATGTGCTGATATCCGCCGAGATATCAATGACAGTGAATTAATTGCAGTAAATCTGTACATTAATTTACCTCACTCTAACGAGGTGAGATTGTTCAGCGCTGTAAGAAAAGATAAGAATCTATAGTGCTTTTTGGTTGTGTAGAGCGAGATGCGCTGACATCTCCTGCGATGTACTTAAACTGTGTATAACCATTGACTGTGTGTAGCACACGTTAGTTATTGCAGGGTACATTGCCATAGTAACAGCCGTAACCCGGAAGTTACGACAAACCTTTTCCGGGGTAACTTTCAGTCCGCCAGCGCCATTTTTGAGCTGTTTGTAAACAAACAAGCCAAGCATGAACTAAGCTAACTGAAACTAACGCTTTTGCATTGGAGCATATGCAAAGTATTGCAGGATACGTTGCCATAGTGACACCCGTAACCCGGAAGTTCTAAGAAACCTTTTCCGGAGGTCAATTACAAGTGCGCAAGCGCAGTTCGCCAGTGCCATTTTTGAGCTGTTTGTAAACAAATAGCCAAGCTAAGCTATTAGCATTGAAGGCTAGCGGTTAGCACGTAGCATTGTGTGGTTTTAAATGCAGAGTGTTTTACAGTGTTTGAAGTGTTGAAGTGACCTGATCAGTTACATCTGAACTTTATTTTTCGCTATTTCAGACTGATTTCATCCTACCTCTCTCTTCTCCTCCCATTGAAAAGGAACATTCCCAAACGCGAACGTAATAACCTTAAAAGCTGTTGTTGTCTTTGTTTTCAAATTTAATCCTGGTCCTCAGCCCCATTACTTTAATGCTACATTGTGATTAATTCAGCTATAACTGCTCTTATAATTTTAGGGACATCAGTAGATATTATTAATTTGCTACACTTAGGGATTTGAAATTGTTAAGTTAATGTCATAATTAATTGCAGGTTTGAAATTTTAATTTCACTTCGTAAATTAATTTCAGTTCCTGCTTCCACATATTAACAATACTTATTGATGACGTTGAATTGTAATTGCTATTA